AATCTAGCTTCGACCAGATTACGACGGAGGGGATGTCAAGCTCAAAGGTCACGTGGGCATCGGCGAATGGGGATACAGGACAACGGAGCAACCAATGGAATCACCCGACCGAACAACTAATCGCGACCAAAGGTCATCCCCTGCTAGCAGCACGTATATTAACACACGCACAACACTACCCAACGCACAACCACCAACCCACCGCTACGCACTACTACGCTCCACAATAACGCACTGATGATGTCACCTCGATTGGTGATGAAACGTTTGCAATCAAATTGCCCAGCTCAGCGAACAAGCAAACAACCACCATAGTACATAATAGTGTAGAATATTTTACCATAGACCCGTATGGTATGGTGTGAAAAGTACAGCATACTGTACCGTATGGAACAGAATAGCACGGATTGAGATGGGATGTCGCAATGCAATGCAGTATGTAGAGGCGTGTCCGGTAGAAATTTACCGGCGTTCTCGTCTCGCCGTGTGCGTACACTGCTTCGGATCGCTGAACCTGATGTCCACAGTGGTTATAGGCAATAATGTCTATACGCAATTGCCATGGCCGCAAGACTCGCATAAGCGAGTCGCCAGTCAGCTTGCCATGAATGCTGTCCTTCAACTGTGTGTGGGAGCAAACAGACTACTACCCATTTTCGTCATAGTCCAACATTCATCATGGCAAACCATGACTCACCGCTTGCAGTACGGCATTCATCACACACATTCCTCACCACACTACAAGCGGAATTAGCTCAATTAGTGGGGAAAACATTTGCACAACCGTCTCATCCCTGTTGGGGCCAGTTATCAGTGCTAATGATCAGTACGCGAATCCGTGTCGGGAATGCATTCATCAGCTAATCACTGTCGTCCCGACCAAGTCCGATTGATGCATAATCCGGATGACTAAACCCGCCACGCGTCACCTGAGGTGATCCGGTGTGGACTAGACCTCGGACTTATGGATCCCGCGAGTTTAGAACTCTCCACAGTTCCGGGAGTCACTCGATGCTGAAAATGTGAAGGAAAACTATATAGAGTACATCGGCGCTCAACTCCATCTCAACTTCTCCTGCAGGATGAGATGTATGACGGAAGTTCAACATTTCCTCACTGCCTGGGTATTACGGGTGATTTATTCTTGTCGTCAATGTGCTATCGGCTACGCGATTCCAACTCCATGGTAGGACATATCTGGAATTACTGCAAGGCCACCCATGACGAACATGACGATTTCACCAAATCAGGTCGTTCGGGAATTAGTCAATCATCTACGATATAGGTGATGTATGGCATTCAGTGAAAACGGAACGCCGATTCGATACCTGACCGTCACACATGGCCCTAAAGGAGTCTAACAAATGTATTCACTTCCTCCGTGAAGCCACTGATGACGGTGATAAAACTGAAGCACGGAACAAACAAAGCTCCATCCATCCACATCCGAACACCGCATGCCAATGGCAATGAGTCTATTGACTTCGCTCTCAACTCATTGCTCAGCCCGGGTCGCATCAATTGATCTACTCATTTCTCATCAATGTCATCATCATCAAAGTACATAACCATAATCACGAACAGCAAAACACAATAGTAAATACTGGTGCTTTACCGTCATACCCCCGGCTTTGGCCGCTTTCCCATGCCTCAGTTTGCAAGAATACTTCGGCATGATGTGCATTTTTGGCTTCGTTCGTACCAACTTAAACCCTCCAACATTGTCGCTGATCCGGAGCAATTAGATCGATTATCACTGACTTCTATCTGTCCATCGTTCTCGCTTCCCCCTGTCGACGTATTCGATAACTGCGCACGGAAGCTGCCATTGGCTGGGCAGTGCATCTCCTACCTTCAGCCAGGACGGTGACATCTGTAAATGTGACCTGACGCCGTAGCCCCCAATTTGCACACACCTTCTGCGCAT